CTCCGCACGTCGAGGCTGACCCCTTCGCTGCATACGGCGGCCGTGACATGTGGCGACGGGGCCCGGTCTTCGTGGACAGCGACGATCAACGCAGCGATAGGGGCTGGCGCGAGGAGGCAGCCTTCGTTGGCGGATATCGTGCCCGACACAATTGGGGACTTAATCGCGATATGGTAAATGGGAGGGTCCGTTTCGGGTTGACATCCCAGAATTCGACGAAGAACAAGTTGACGGGCCATTGTACGATGGTCCACCGGTGTTTGATGAAGAACTCGAGGAGGTGAAGGAGTGTCTTACCGGTGAAGTGGACAGTCTCTACGACGGTCCGCCGATTTTCGATAAGGAGCCTTCGGGCCCGGAGGAATTCAATCATGTTTCGGGCATCAAAATTCAGCTGTTGGAAGAATTTGGTGTTCGATTGGTAGTTATTCTATTGCACAGGCCCGAGGTTTTCTCCTACGTGAATTTGTTGCGATCTTGCAAACAGATGTTGTGTTTTGGTTGCTACGGTGACTTCAAAATGATGTGTGTGGCTGCTGCATATATGTATTTCCATGACTTTCAAGGGGGTGATACCATGTGAGTGAGACATTCAACCTTCGTGTTCGACCGAGGGAAACGACAGGAGTTACTACCATGGGTTCGACACCATACGCCGGGCACGTGTGCGCATCGGCTTCGAGGGCGAAGCCTTCCAAACCGGTGGGAGAATGGTGTAGATTAGGATTGTTATTATTATTATTATTATTATTATTATTATTATTATTTTTATTATTATTATTATTATTATTATTATTATTATTATTATTATTATTATTATTTAATAGCTTGGTGGACAAGTTAATATTTAGGATTAGGAGTCTTATATAAAGGACTCCTTCTAATTTATTTTTCTTGGTTGTTTATGAATGAAAATATGAATTATATCGTGTTTAGATGTTCTTGAGATTGAGATCTCATTAATATCGTCCCACTCGTACGCTTTCCCTACATCAGATTTATTATATTATTTTATTTTATCATATATAATATCTTAATATATTATTTATATGTATATTGGACAACGTTATCAAATAGTTGATTTAGCGTTATTGTTTAGGACTAAGACAACATGAACAATTAACGTATTCAAACATCAACAATAAATAATATTCATAAATATACTTATTTGTCTCTTATCTTACTTATACTTTATTATAATATATTATTTTGATTTCTAAATAAGTGACGGTATAAACAGAAAGTTATTTTAAAAAGAACGTAATGAATGTTATTTTTAAATTTATAAAATTTACTAAATTTTAATTACGTCAAATAATTTTATTTTCTTTCTATAATTTATAATAATGTATATTATAAATATTTTTTTCTCCAATCTAATAATTCAGATGACAGTTCGATCATGGTTGATCTATTATTAATATTTATAAAAAAATGTATTATAAATATATTAATTTGGTTTATTTAAGGTAACAATTTACATGTGAAATAACATATTACATCGTTTTCGACAGGTAACTTGTTTATTTATCATTATAGTTTATAATAATTTAAATTATAATTATTTAATTTATTTTCTCAGTTAATAATTTACATATATAGTTCGACATATGATTTGTTAGTTCATTATCATAATTTATAATAATATCTATTTTAAATATTCTAAGTTTGATTTCCGAGATTATAATTACATGACAACTTGACGAATGACTCGTTGGTCTATCATAATTCATACAATACCTATATAAATAAATTGATTCTTTATAATCTAAAAATTTGAATGACAGCTCAACAAATTATTAGTAGGTTTATAGTATTAATATTGTATATATCCTCCAAATATTTATTATTTATATTTCGTAGAATTATTTTTGAAACGCTTGATGGGATAAACATATCAATTACTGTTTTACATTATTTTATACTAAATATATTATATTATATACACATTCTTATTTTATAGTATGAATAACTTGCTACTAATTCTTATTTTTAATTGATTTGTATTAAATGATAAGGTTAGTTCATTTTATGTAACAACTAATGAACTTATTAATAATATATAATATTATTTATTGTTATACTTATAATAATGTATGTCGATCACAACTCATGGTTAATTTAATATTATAAACAAATATAACATATAAAAATATATTAAGTTTTTAATATAAAAATTATATTAATACTTAATAAGAACATAGAGAGAGAGAGAGATTAAATAGGAAACAAATTATATATAACCACATCGATTAACTTATATTATTAAAATAATATAAAACACAACAAAAAATTTTTTTGTATTCTAACCGAAGTCTTATGGTAATATATTCCAATGGAAACTCTCACGGATATTCCAGTAGTATAACTGCCGTTGGAATGATTCCAACAAAAAATCCAACAAAATTATTCCGTTTGATTGTGTTTTTCATTAGAACTTTTTATGATGTTTTATGACTGTAACAACTATATTTCCAATAGCTTTTTTACCGTTGGAATACACAATTTCCATTGGAATTTTTATTTCCACCCGCGTTGAAAATTTTGAAATCGTCAAAATCCAATGAAAATTCCTACGAAAAAAGCATTCCCACGTAATATTTTTGTTGGAATTTTTATAAGCTTAGTACAAGAATATTATATTACAATTAGTTATTATTTTATTTGGTAGTTGCAAAACTCTAATGTTTGTAATTCGAATTATATCACGACAACTGTATTCTAACAATGAGAATGAATGAATGGCCAACAAACAAAATCCAGCTAAATACATGCAATTTTCCCCAAATCCCTAAATTAAATGTTGTTTATCCGCTTTAATACTAAAATCCATACCACCAAATTACAAATCGGATGTTTGAAAAAAAATAAAATAAAAAATCCAGTCAATCGGATCCCATTAAAGCCTCTATATAAACATGAAATATATTATAACAAACAATATCACCAAAAAAAAATAAATAATAATAATAATAATAATAACAAAATAAAATAAAATAAAATAACATAAAATAAAGATGACTAGAAAGAAAGTGACCCTAGCTTACATTAATAGCGTCTCTGATCGGAAAGCCTCGTTCCGTAAGAGGATGAAAGGGTTCCAGAACAAGGCCCGCGAAATCGGGACGTTGTGCGACGTCCCGGTTTGTACCATAGTGTACAGCGGTTACGAGCGCCGGGCTGAGGTGTACCCGTCCCGGGCCGAGGCCCAGCTGGTGCTGGCCCGATTCAACGGCCTCCCGGAGGTCGACAGGAGCCGCAAGATGGTGAGCCAAGAGACATTCACCCAACAGCGGATCGCGAGAGTGCGGGCCCAGCTGAGTCGTGTCCTGAGGGAGAAGAAGCGGCGGGAGCTGGAAGAGTTCGTGTACAGGTGCGTGGAGGAGAAGGCCAGGCTGGCGGACTTGGACCCTGCTGACGTGGACGAGATGGATATTGTTATGGACAAGGTCCTTAGGGACATCGAGTCGAGGAAGGAGAGGATCGCGACGATGAGGAGGAGCAATGTGGAGAAACCAGTAGAAAAAGAAGTAGAAAAAGATCAAGAAGATCTTCATAGCTTCATTTTGAGGATTGCGGGCAGCCCAACCGGGCTGGAAGTGGCTCCGAGCCGGCCCCGGCTCGGCTGTGAGGACATGTGGAGTTTGACCAAGGAGGGGCTCAGCAATGAGGAGTTTTTATTATAATTAAGGAGTCGATGCTGCTGTTGTTGTGATTTCTTCTTTCTTTTGATTGTTTGAAGATGGTTTCGCATGTTTTTTTTATTTGACTGAATAAATTAATTAATCAACTGTTATTATAATTTATTATTATTATTATTATTATTGTTATTAGTATTATTATTATTATAAATAATTAGGTCATTTTGTACTTTTTTTTTCACGCATAATGACATGACAAGAACACGTACCCTAAGTAGTTTGTATACAGAAAATACGAATAATTGCATTAATTAATGCCTGAAGATATTAAAAATATTGTTTTGAGGTAATTATTATTAAACATTGAACTCGTTTATTTTTTTTTCCAAACGACAAACGTAACATTAAAGTCATGACAATAATACATACCCTAAATAATTCGTATACAGAAAATACGTGTAATTGCATTAATTGATCCCTAAAGATATTAAAAATATCGATTTGAGGTATATTAAATATTGAACTCGTTTATTTTTTCCAAACGACAAACTTAACATTAAAGTCATGACAATAAATACATACCCTAAATAGTTCATATACAGAAAATACGTGTAATTGCGATCCCTGAAGATATTGAAAATATCGATTTGAGGTAATTATTAAACATTGAACTCGTTTATACGACAAACTTAACAATAAAGTCATGACAAGAACATATACTTTAAGTAGTTCGTATACAGAAAATACGTGTAGTTGCATTAATTAATGCCTGAAGTTATTGAAAATATCGATTTGAGATAATTATTAAACATTAAACACGTTTATTTTTTTTTTTCAAACGACAAACTTAACACTAAAGTCATGACAACACATACCCTAAGTAGTTCGTATACAGAAAATTCATGTAATTGCATTAATTAATGCCTGAAGATTTTGAAAAATCGATATTTGAGGTAGTTATTAAACATTAACCTCGTTTATTTTTTTTCCAAACGACAAACGTAACATTAAAGTCAAAGAAATACAAAGCATAATCCACTGATTATAGCAACACCTATATATCCAACCAGAGAAAGTTGTAAGGTATATTGAAGGCCTCACAAGGCTCACAACGCCAAACACAAGACTAAACTCACTCACACTAATGAACAAAACAACAAGAAGAAAAATAAACTGCACCCGCCAACGCTTCCTCCACAAGGACCCTCATCTTCTCCTCCACCAAGCTCCTGTGGTAAGAAAGTATTGGCTACATAATTAATTACTCAAAGGCTTTATTTAAGAGTAAAATTAATTTAAGTCATTATTTTGTGTATACGGTAGACATGCTTGATTTACAATCACGCTATATAAATTAGTTTTCTCTCCATCAACTAGAATCCGCGTCGATGCTTTATTTGCTAGATACGGTAAATGTCAATTAGAGAAACTAATTCACATCTCAACTGTAAATGTGTTCATAAATAAATTATCACGACTTCTGAGAACCTAATGTTAGTGTATGTGTCCACGTATAAGATATGAACACTGATGAGCCAAGATAATTGACTCACCGAGATTGTCGGTCGAATCGCCTCATCTCGGTTGCGTGAGAGTTCGGACATCTCGATCGCCTTCATCTTCAAGAACCGGATCGACCTGCAAAGCACCGGGGCGGCGCCCCGGCGTAGACACTCCGACGCTCAAGTCAGAAAACAGATAATTTGATCGTGTATTTTTCGTAATCTTAAGAGCTTGGGATGAGAAAATAAACCTGGTCCCTTATTTATAAGGGGTTTAATGACTTACTCCCCAAGATAATGCGTTTCCTTAATAAACAAGAACTCTGATACTCCTCAATAATTGTGTAGATATACACCAACTTTCATGAATATCTTTAATTAATACCGTGTATCACATAAATTAGCTCTAAGCTTCCTTAGACCGGCCTATCCGAGCTAACTGCTCAGGCTGGTCCACCGAGTTATTTTTCATGCTACATCAAACACGTACACTAAATAGTTAACGAATTTATGTGCGATTACATCAATTAAAAATGAAGACATAAAAATATAAATGTGATAATTATTACGTTTTCAATCATAATTGATCTTCAAATTGTTGGACGTGATAACAGTAAAATAGCCTAATCATAGCAAAGTTATTCAATTTTGCATCATATAATGTAAAATATGCAGTGACGAACTATTGACTAAAAATAATTTATTTTTAGTCATTTATATAACCAAGTTGCTTTATGTTGTGCACAAAAATTCGTGAGTAAATAAAATTTTTGCATCCAACTTTACAACTTTAGAAAGAATTATAACTATTACCGTAATCATGAATTTTATAAAGGACATCATCATTACACGGCGGATCTAGTAAATATAATGAACAAGGGTACAACAATATAATTAAAAAAATATAAAAAACTAATGAAAAGGACAAATACAAAAACGGTGTCTTGAGAATAAAAACTTGATCATCTTAACTAATTTTGGCATTGATAACATAATTTCCCGTCCTATATTGTTTCTGTCAAAGATACTAGAATTTCTCTCAAATCTATTTGGATTCAAAATATCTTCTTTTGAGATATTTTCGCAAGAATTTTGTTAACATGTCCTTTTTTTGAAAATATCAATGTCTGATATACAAAAATAATAATATAAATTTACAATAAATGAAATTTCCCATTTCGATATATCACACTTTAAATAGCTGTAAAAAAAACCTAAAAGGGCTTGAATGTGCAATTTCAACATAAAAAATAATATATTTACCACTATCTGGAAAAATAAAAAAGAGTAATTTCTCGTAAAGCTATGAGACCTAAGGTTAGAGAGAAGAAAATTTCCCTCCCATGGACGATTTCTCATCCACGGCGCCTTGGCAAGCTTTAGCTCAATCTCTAAAGATTCCTTGTATTTTGTTTAATCAATTTCGTGACCAAATTCACATTTCCCACTTCATCCTTCTTGATATGGCTAAAGGTAAAAGAAAAGCTAAGTACCGAAAACTAGTTCTCGAAATTTCTGATGACCGCCTCTCTGCCGGAGAAGAAAGTGACTCCGGCGACTCAATCGTAGGCCAAGGAATCAGCATACTCAAGGAAGAGCTGGTAGAAGACAACCTTGTGGAAGATAATTTCACTAAGCCCGCCACCGAGAGCTCTAAGGTGTTACTTGGGCTAGCCGTGGCCAATCGTGAGCTTAGCAATGATAATAATATTGTTGATGATCTTGTTAACATGGGTTTTGATGTTGAGATGTTGGAGGGTGAAGAGGGCAATCAAAAGCTAGCAACAAGTCAAGGCAAAAATAACACCCACAAGGTGTTTGATGAAATGTCACAAAAGAAAAATGAAAAGGAAAACTTGGTGAAGTCACAAAAGGATGCCACTACACAAAAGAGGCCTTTCTCGGCCCTCTTTGCCGACAACCGCAAGCCCTCCCCTGGTCTCAAATTAGACTATGTCCCACCAAAAGAGGGAGGAGCTTTTCTTGAAGAAGATGACATTTCCGAGCTCACCGAAACATGGGGCTTTTGCCTTGTTGGATATTTTAC